AATTGGGGAGAGCGCAAAAAGGGGGGGTGAGAACCGTCAATCACAGGGGAGAAGGTCGATCACAGGGGAAGAAGAACTTTGTCTAAACCACCCACTTCTCCCCCTGCTAGAGTCATAGAACCACCTCCGATGGACACCTCACACATAAGGAAAACAAAGAAATACAATCGTCATCACCCGTCACATAGCGTACTCTCTCCCACCCACAACCATCCTTCAGCCACCTCATAGGCTGCGAGCACGACAGAGGGAGAAACTCGATACCCCACCCCTAAAAAGCAGGCAGCGATGACCCTCGTTCACAGCAACACGCGAAGAAATTAAGACTTAACACCTTCACACCTTAACACCCAAAAGCATCTCAAAATACCAAGCATGCGAGGTGTAACCAGAAAAGGACAGCCATCACCGGTCGGCTCCTTCGGTTGCTGGGTGATTACGGTTCATCATGTGTGTCGTATCCGCTCTTTGAATGCCTTTCTTTCATCACAGTGACGCATATCACCAAAGAGTGTGTTGCAGGATTTCTTATTTTTGTACTAAGTCTTGCGCTTGAGCCTTCGCCATGCAGGCCTGTTCCATCAAACTCACTACGAGTGTTCCAGGAATCTATACGTCTTCCAAGTCAAGGACAGAATAGGCCTGAAAGTATAGGTCTTCCACGCGGTAATTCTGAAAGTAGAGGTCCTACTCTGAAAGTACAGGTCTTCCAAGTGGCAATTGTCATTGTACAGGTGCTACAAGGGGCAGTTCTGGAAGCATACGTCTTCGAAGTGGCAATTGTCGTTGTACAGGTCTGCAAGGGGAAGCGGAATCGGGAAAAAAAGCTTCAAAAAAGAACGACGATACACAACTTCATGCATCCACATATATATATACATACATAAGATATATATATATATATATATATATATATATATATATATATATATAGTCAAACAGAGCTGCCTACGGTAAAGCGGAGGCAGAGAGGGAGGGAGAAAAGGGAGAAGAGGACAACAAACGAGGGGCTGTGACAAACTGTTTGGTCAGAGTTTCACCGACTCATCAGGAGGAGGCTGAACCCTCAACAGTCTGCAGAATCCCCTATAAAGTAAAAGGTAGCAGTAGTAGTGTTACATCTTCGACGCACACGGGTCCTACCGGACCCGACTTAGGGCCGGAAGGACACATCAGGGCCTAAAGGCCCGACCTTGGGGTATTACAGGCCCTAAAGGTCTGATCTTGGACCAGTACCCGACGGGCAGGCCCAAACGGCATTATCGTTTGGGCCTGGCGGCGCTCTTGAGGCTGCCGCCCGCCGGTTGGGGCTGAACCGTCCATCTGGACGGTTCAGGGCATGGCCAGGCCTCGCAGCATTGAGGCCGGCCTCTGCCCCACCGGTATAAGTACCGGTACAGCCTCACTTGGAGGCATCGAACCACCGGCACTCTACCGGTGCGTTAKGGTCAGCGCCAGAGCACTGTTTTGATGCGCTAAGTTTAGCGCAGGAGCGAGCAAGGAGCAGCAGCGGCAGCGCAGCATTAGCGCAGCGGCAAGCGGAGCAGCAGCAGGGCGACTGAGCGAGCAAGGAGCAGCAGCGGCAGCGCAGCATTAGCGCAGCGGCAAGCGGAGCAGCAGCAGGGCGACTGAGCCAGCACGGCGGCCATTGCCGCCTGAGGTACCTGGGAGCGGAGGACCTCTCCTCCCTCCCTCGTCAGCTCTCTCTCTCCTCCTCCTCCTCCTTCTTCTTCTTCTTCTTCTTCTTCAGACTAGAGACTTATACTAGTTGGACAGAGATCAGAGTTGGACTTCGGTGATATGAGACTGTGGTACTTACCTGATTGGAGACTTGGAGATTGTTGAGGTTGATACTCGGCTGCATCACAGTTGGACACCGGTTACATCTGGACTCTGTATCTCCGACATTGGTGACCTATGGGCCTCGACATTTGGATCTTGTTGTATGACATTTTGGACTACCATATCGGAGACCTATCAGACTCTATCTATCGGTGTTGTCTACCTCCCCACCTCCTTCGTCTCTCCTCCCACCTTTCATCTGTGAATGCGTGTACGGGATCTGGGCACCGTCTATGAATGGCCCAGACCCCACCATCTCACGATTGTATGCGTGTGGAGTGATGCTATGTGAGCCAGTCTATGTGAGTCAGTCCGTTTATCAGACTTCCGCTGCATACATGCTCATCCTACATTGGTTGATCTTTGGTTCTGCCCATACTCGTTGAAGTATGCAACAGTTTTGGTATCGGAGCAGACCATATAACGGATCTGCTCACGAAGGTAAGTCTGGTTAGGAATTAGATTGCCTTCTCAATCTTNCCCCCCCCCCCCCCCCCCCCCAACCAAACATTTGTCATCCCATCCCTTTCTCTGGTCTCCACACACACCCACAGCCACCCCCACACACCATCCCAACTCTTCAAAAGAACAGAGAGCATTAGATATGAGCCTGTCCAGCATAAACGGCCCCAGTGACAAATCACAGATATGTCCTCCGGTTCTCAGTTTTTTGTTTTTTTTTTCCGGCAAACATGGAGAAGACCTATATGACACTGCACCGGGCCAAAAAGGAAAAGAAGACGAAGCATATGCTGACATTTGCCACATCATTTTAAGAATTCTGCTACAGCACTGTCCTCTGCAGGACAAAGGATTTAAAAAAAAGAAGGAAAGAACAAAACAGGAATAGGGTACAAAATACCTTTCTAAGTCTTTTGGGCTAAAAATAGATCTAGCGTCCGTTCTGATCATTTCAATATCTGATCCGTGGTCTACCGAACCATACTAAAAAAAAAAAAAAACAAGACGACAAAGAATACACAGTTGCTGACGACTTGCCACATTACTATTTTCACAATTCTTCTGCAGAAGAAAAGGATTAAAATAATTAAATCATAGTTAACGCGCACCTCGGTGCGTTGATTTGCGCACGCGCCGCGCACTGCACACAGCCCACCACGCGCACGCGCACCCGGAAAATTAAGGTCCCACAAAAAAAAAAAAAAAGTACGGGTTTCCTAATTTCCTACGGCACCCACCCCAGCACAAATGTTCGACTCGCTGCGCAAGTTCGGAAACTGTCCGCGCCCTTGGCCCGAAATATTGTTTCTGGCCCTTTCTGGGCAAGGGCTGCCGAATTTTGCGTTCCATAGGCCCCTCCCCCCAAAATTTCAAAATCGCGAATCATGAAAATAGCGCTCATTGTCCTTCGGGACGTCCGTTAAAATTGGAACGATACACAGAAAGAAGATTAGCATGGCCCCTGCGCAAGGATGACACGCATAAATCGAGAAATGGTCCAAATAAAATAAAAATTAAAAAAAAGAAATAAAAAAATAGGGCTCATTGAGCCTCATCATTCCAATTTTCATTTACAGGCGGGGCGTGGTAACTGGCCTTCCCCCTCCCTTCTGCAAATCCCACATAGCAGTGGACGAATTTGCACCACACTGCTCACAGAATTCACAATACATGTTTGGTGAGGGGAGCCGGCCGACCACCAATATATGCTGAAGATTGGCATTCGGGTCTGCAGGTCGGCAGTTATGGGTTAGGATGAAGATGCCTGTAGCGCTCTCGTTTTTTTTCTTTTTGTTTTCTTATGAATACGTACAGTGATTCTAGGAACATAAAACTATCTGACGGACCTAGCCACCAGGTCTGACAGGAGAGATGGTGTCATGGCAAGCTGACAGTCAATCCTCCGTCAAGACGGAGTAATCAATGCTGCTCAGGGGTCCTTCGGCCAGACGGAAGGAAGCGTGATCGGGTCTTAATTGTTGTGCCGGTTGGAATAGGAACCGGACTGACGCTCCCCAGAATAGAAGGAGCCAGGACCATGATTTAAAAAAAAAAAAGAAAAAAACGTAGTGGCCCAAGGGGCCTCTCGCCACTACTCACCACATGCACAAAAGACATACCATATGGCGTTGTATGGTTCCATGTTTTAGCAGAAGATTCATTCAAATTGGTGAGTGGTGGAGCTAGGCCCTGAGAATCACGTGGAGACACGAACAGGGTCTAGCTGAATTGGTGACCCATAACTCCCAAGCTACAGACCTGAACTCCCACCCACAGCATATATTGGTGGTCTGCTCCCACCTCTCCCATATATGACGCAGCCCTCCTGCTTGCTGAAAGCGACGGTCCTCAATGTCTCCACAATGCCAAAGCAGATTGTGAAAACAATTTTCTCTCTCTCTCTCTCTCTCTCTCTCTCTCTCTCTCTCTCTCTCTCTGTGTGTGGCACAAATAAATGTTTTCTTTTTTTTTTTCGTGCACCTGGCGCACCACCCGCAGCGCACGCACTGTGCACTGTGCACCACACTGCGTATGGCGCACAGCGCACTGCGCACTGGTGCGCCGCAACCAAAAAAAAAAAACCAAAAAAAAAAAGAAGGAAAAGGGCAAATAGGAAACTGAGCCAAAAACAAGTTGGTAACAACGTTTTGCTTCATCATGTTCACAAAATTTGCCTACTGCGTTTAGTTGCACTTGTGCAAAACAAAAGAATAAAAAACGAAAGACAGAAGAGCGGCAACTCAATGGACATACCACTTTACGGAGCACAGCATATATTTCAACGCAAAGCGGTGAAAAGGAGTACAAAATTGGGCGTCGTTAGACACTCCTTGGGGACCCGAAATCCACAAGGACATGCTCGTTCCACCTATCCTCGGGGACGATTTACGAAAAAAGAAGTGAAAACAGCAGAAGGAAATTTCCTTGTCATGTCCTTGTGGCTCCAGCCAATTTCTCGTAATCCCCAAGGGACCTCCTGAGGTCCCTCGGAGCACAAGGAAGCGCGATATTCGGAGCGGCGAAGGCATGCGTCGACGCACAGTTTCGGTTTGAGGGTGGTCCAGACGTGGTCCGCCCAGCGGGAGCACGGACATCCCTGCCCTCCACCGTCTGAGCAGCACCCCAATGGCTCCAAACGGTCACAGTCTGCATGACGCCTCCGTCCGACGAATCGGCCACCGCCGGCCGGTGTCATGCGGTCTGCTGCGCTGGGAGATTGTTGACAATGGTCGGAAATTTGAATGCTTTTCCGCGCTGACGCTTTGTTCGACGACAACAGTGTTTTTTGGCAAGATCGTCGTTTTTGTCGGTTGTTGTCACGCCGTGCACGTCCAAGCACAGATCTTCCCTCATTTTTTCTTCTCTCAACGGCGTTCTTCGGTGGACGGTCGACCACTGATGTGGAGTTGCTGCCATTTCCACGGCCCTTACATGGCCGACCTGCTGCACAGGCTGCCTCTGCTACTCACTGCCGTGCTGCTTGTCATCGTTGTCTTCTTCCACGTCTGTTTCGTTGGCCAGCTCCCTGTCGCGGCTTGCAAAAGGAGGTCTTCCAAGAACGGCGACAGGATGGACCGACGAATGACCAATGGCAGACCGGCAGGCACGACAGCAGGAGCGAGCAATCGGCAACGCACTGCGAGGTCTGTGGGCAAGCAAGCGTACGACCCCACGTTGTATGTTCACCTGCCTTCGCATGAGATTCCTCTGCCGCCGTCGGATGACAAGGGGGTAGACATCAGGTCGCTGATTGTGCCGTTGGGAAGTGGTTCCACGCAGGATTGGGCGGCGATGCAGTCCTACAGTGGCAGGCGGGCGAAGACCCCGTGGTCTTACACGTCACTGCTGAACGAGGGGCTGTGCGATGACGATGGCAATGCAGCTGTCGATCTGAGCTTCCAGTTGTCGAGCAGCAGCGGAGCAGCGGCGACACATGCTCGCATCATCAATCACCACCCAGATGGGGATTGCACGAAGCAGACGATGGTTGGTCCCTGCAGACCGTGAGACGGCTACCTCAAACACTTCGCGAGGGCGGTGGGAATCGAGATGTGTCCTCGACGCATTGTAGAGGAGGAGGCGGCGTGGATCAACGTCCGGAATGTATGTGATCATCACCTGCATCACAAAGCGAGGGCGGTGAGAATCGAGATGTGTCCTCGACGCAGGGTAGAGGAGGAGGCGGCGTGGATCAACGTCCGGAATGCATGCGATCATCACCTGCATCATAAAATGGATCCGGGACTCCACGTGGACGGCAGCGACAGGAGGACACGTCCGCGGCAGGTGTGCATGTAGAACGCCACGGCAGGCAGCTGTGGGCGGAGTGCAGGCAGGCCTTGCGTCAAGCTGGAACGGACACAATAACGAGAGGGGTGCTCGGGGCCATTGTCTGGAGCTTCCATCAATGTCCTCCTACGCGCGCGCAACTGCTCCACTCGTCCAAGCGCCCTCTCCTTCTGACATCGAAGAACAACGGTCGAGACGGCCACCGCCACGGCCTGCAGCTCGAGTGGCGTCAACGACGCACGTCCACCCTCTCGGTCGCCCTCCATATCCGCGACCTGGAGACGGATCCATCGCTCCGCTGCCGTATGTGTCCAACGAAGAAGCCGAAGACGTCCATCGAAAGCTTCCGCCTTTTCTTTGGATGCAGTCCTGCCGACCGAAATGTGTTTGACGGCGCAGTCGACGTGGAAGAAGGTCGACGGCGATGGACGCAGCCGACGATGCCTGCTCAGTCACAACGGCCAGTGTACGGAAGGGACGCCGCCACTGAGCCCGTTTCAGCACTACGTCGTCTTCGCGCCACCAGCCGCACGTCGTCGTCGTCGTCGCTGCCGTCATTCAAAATTCGAATTGCAAACGTCGAGGCCCCCCGGGTTAATTTTTTTCCTGGCGCCCACCTGATGCCGGTTCCCGCCACATGTCGCTGGACCACGCCGCCTCCACACGGACAAAAGATAGTTGACCACGGACGACCGACCCCGCGGCCACAAATTTACGTATGAAAATGGCCGCGGGCACGCCACAAGGAAACATCCTCGGGGGAGGTCCCCAAGGATGCGTGGAACGACGCCGCAAATTTCACTTAAGAGCCACAAGGAAATTTGAACCGCAAGGAAATTTCCTTGTAGCTCAAGGAACTCGTAAGGAGTGTCTAACGACGCCCATTCTAAGAACCAAAAAAAAAAATAGTGCGAACAAATCCATCGAATCCAACAACAACTATGTTACTCAAAGGATTACTTCCAATCCCTTCCCTGACATAATATGACATGACAGAAACACGCTCCTAATGTCGAATCGGCCTGCATCTGCTAAATCAAACGCGAACCAAAAGCACCGATCTGAAAAACTCCATCGCCACTTTCTTCGTCTGCAACCTAAGAACTTGACGGTAAATCGGCACCAAAAGAAAAAAAGAAAAAAAATCACAAAACTGTGGAGGAAATCATGTGTGTGGGTGGATTGCCTGCCATGCAGCTTTTTTCACCTGGGGTCACCCATGCAGCAGCCAAAATCACAAAACTGTGGAGGAAATCATGTGTGTGGGTGGATTGCCTGGCATGCAGCTTTTTTCACCTGGGGCCACCCATGCAGCAGCCCTATATATTTACTATTTAGAGGTCCGGAAGCTTTCCGGATCTAACAAGTTAGGACTTTTTCTCGAAAAGAGTTAGGACAAGCTTTGTCTCTAGAAAACGTTCGGAAGAGGCCTATCTCAGTTATCTGTAAAAGACACTTGCAAAAAGTTCGGATAAAGCTCATCTCTAGAAAAGCTGGCCATGCACCTCGAAGAATAAGCTTACCTGAAAAACGTGGACGCATTCGCTGCATCAGAATGCAACACTCTGAGACCAAGAAGAAGACGGTCGGTCGCAGGGAAGACACTCGAATCGCCGCATAGATATACAGATGTAGCTCATCAAACTCGAATCCGTTCTCCAGTTTTCTCTCGTTTTTCGCCTTCTCAACACCAAAGTCGTCCCCATTGAGCACAATCGGCCGTGTCCTTCAGGGAAGATCAGAGAAGAAGAAAAAGAACAAAAGACTGTGAAGGTCAATCAATCGGCTAAAACTAACTCGAGACATGTGCGTTGATCCGAAAATCTCAACCCGATCAGAAGTCAAGAGGTGCCCATCCTGGCTGGTAACACACTCACAGCACAAACCTTTTTCTGGATGACGCATTCAGCCGGAGAGCCGGCCAAATCCAGTCACAAAAGTCGTAATGTGAGTGTACGCCCTGTACTGGTATGAAAGAAATGCTGAACGTTTGGACAGGCCTGTCTCAGTTTCCTGCATGGTTTACGGCGGGAAAGAGTGGCACGGAGAAGGGGGGAGAACGGCTGAACGGAGAGATTATCTGCAATGCTCGATATGTTGTTGGCCCAACAGAAGAACCCAGCGAACTCAGCAGTAGATTTGCGGCTACACGACTTTCCGGCGAGATGAAGACAAGGTAAGAGAAGGATGGTAATTTTACCATGGGGCAAAGAAAAGACACGAGAATGATGATTTGATCGAAGGATGAGGAAGGAATCCAAAAGATCCTTTGGCTCGATAACGCTAGACTCCTTCGAGATCTGCTACATCCTCTCCACCCCATCATCACCAACATGTGGCCGAATCGTGGCAGAATCTGGCCCATTCACAGCCCATCTGCAGCTGTCCGGCGATAATTAATTACAACTGGCGCACGGATGAATAGGTGGGGGACGATCAGCCCAAGTTCGTCGAACAGTACATCACGAGATCAGCAAACGCTGCTCCGCCTTCACTGCACAGATCAAACAGACAGTTTCGACGTCACATCAGCCGCGAGTGAAAAAGACGTTTGCATCGAGGAAGATGAAGAGCCTTGCGGCAAATGCACCCCCCCATTTTGTGAAGAACAGTGCCTAACAAATCGACAACGGTGAAAACAATTGAAGAACCGGCCCCCAACCATTGCAAGCTCACATTTGCACCACCGAAATTTGCAATCCCCAATCAGTGTGACGACAAAGTCGCAGGCCTGGCCAGCTAGCTACATGCTTGACGAAAACTTGGCTGGGAATCCCACAACTTTCCATCGAGCATTGCATTACCAGCTGCGCGATGATGACAACACATTGCCAGCTTGACCGCCTCAGGCCAGTAACCAGCCAACTCAGCAAACATAATTGAATGTCAAGCAACGAGCGAGGAAAGCGCTGTCGTGTGATACGAGCCAGATGGGCAAAGGTGCAAAGGAGATCATGGGTATCGGAAAAGCTCAGATCCTCTTCAAAAACCGCCTGCCTTCTGAAAACGAAAAAGACTCAGCGGCGGTGCCACATCTGCACATTGTGTGAAAAGAGATGTGTGCGACTTCACCTCAAACAAAAAAGACGAAAGAAAGGTATCCTGCAAATGCATACCGCGTCAGCGAATAAAGGTACGATTACAACCTCCAATGACATCCAGCACACACTGCGTGCCTCTTCCATTTCCCACAGTGTGCAGAAACCAAAGGGCACCATTCGATGCCCAACAGCATGCAGTTGGCTGAGCAAATATTGGACAAGCCCGCGTGGAGGAAATTCCAAGCGCTCCAGGTTGTCAGGTTAACTCATGTTTGATATCCAACTCAGGTCCTGCATATCGTGTTATGGGACCAGCTCCGTCAGCAACTCACCCGGGTGAGTTGCTGCTAAGTAACTTACCCGTAAAAGAACTGGACACGATTATTGTCCAACTTGGTTACTGCAAGGCAGGACAAGTTACAGACGAGTAGCTGACAAGTAATTGATGAGTTACGGGCAACTTATCGACATGTTACTCACGAGTTATGGGGAGGACAGTGGTGAATTATTCATGAATTATTTGTCTACGACAGAAATTCAAAGTAAGGGGTGGGAGACGTGACTGTGAATGACAAAGCATCACTCATTTCCTGATTAGCAGCAGCCTGTTGCCATATTTCCCCGCCTACTAGCCTATTGCCTGAACACGATTATTTAGACCTCACTGCCAACATAACTCTTGCTGCTGCAGATGACAACCCCCAGTGTTTTAAACGCCCTGCACAGCTTGGCAAGAGTCTGAGTCATGATGCGCATCCTCCCCTTCGGAGTCCCATCCATGTTCTCTCTCTCGGTAGAGGACGGCACCGCCTCCTCTTGCGTGTGTCTAATAACCTTTAAGGTGTGCCCAGATTGAGTCGTTCCCTGTCGGTAGGGGATTTCAGGCTTAACTGTTGCTGCTGCAGACAACAATCCACAGTGTTTCAAGTGCCTGTACAGCTTGGCCAGAATCTGATTTGATTTACGATGCACGCCCTCCCCTTCAGAGTCGCACCCATGTTATATCTCTCTCAATAAAGGAAGCAACTACCTCCTCTTGTCTGTGTCCAAGTACCTTTCAAGGCGCGGACGGATTGCCCATCAGAAGGGGATTCCAGGCTATCATGTGATTGCAGGAGCAGCACACCCACGCTGCTCGGCTGGCATCGCCCAAACGGAGGAAAGACAAGTTTATAACGCGTACAATTTGGAAGCTGCAATTTGATGGCGTAGCAAATTTGTGGGCACTTTCTGGGGATGCACATCCTGCTGCATCCCTATTAGAAATTCCAAAAGGTGGATGCCCAGCTTGGCAAAAAGAAGAGATTCCGAAGTCATGTCCACATCTCAAGACGACAACGTCGCCATGACGAGGACCGCAACTGCCTCACATGAGTGCTGACCATGGTTCTCGTCACAGTTATGCTCCAGGGGTCAAAAGCTCAAACTAAGCACAGACCAAAGCCTACATGTGTGACCAACAGACAAACATGCCTGGAAATCACTAGAAAGCCACCGGAACACCACTAAAAACCCATTAGAAAGCCACTAGAAAGGCACAAGAAAGCCATTAGAAAACCCCACCAGGAAACCACTAGAAAGCCATTAGAAAGACACTAGAAAGGCACAAGAAAGCCACTAGAAAGCCACAAGAAAGCCACTAGAAAGCCTCTACAAAGCCGCTAGAAAGCCGCTAGACCTTATCTGTTGTTACAGTAACAGAATTTTTCACCTGGCAAAGACTCGTACGACCAAAATTGCATACAGCGCAGTTATCACCTGTTGCAGTTGTCGCATAACTTTATGCACACCTACCCACCCCTCCTATCGATGGCCCAATCACATAGACACGAACAACACGACATAACAACAGACACTGTGGATACGTTGAGACAAATTTCAGCAACACGCATGAATTAAGCATCCTATGCTTTTCGTTCCCCACTAACAACAGATGGACAGCACGCAGATAGATGAAAAGTGTACGCCGAAGAGGACGACGATGCCGTCCTCACACACAACAGGCACAAGGCGATGGGTGAGAACCGCGACTCACTCGAAGAGGAAGACTGCAGTGTGCACATCGGTAAGCACCCAAATCACACCAGCAGAATGCGGATTCGGCAGTCGTGAAGCAGACTCATGAAGATGAATCCAAGGCAGGAGAAGCACCACAGAGAACACGCTATCCACCACTGGCCCGGTGCATAGCCCGGCATGCTCGGACGTTTCTTGGAGCTCCCGTGACGACATCCTTCCCTAGATTTCTCTGTGAACAACGGCAAATGGTACGCAGCCCTTCTCTCGCTCCCTCTGCGCAAATTGAAGTAACAGGTACTTTGCAATCAGGACAGTGAACGAACAAATGTTGTTTGTTTGTGCAGATGCATCCTCCACAAAGAGAGGTAGTACACCAGCACATCATTTTCCCAGAACAAAAGAAAGAAAAGTTTGCAAACCAAACAGACTGAGGGAAGAATCGAAGTGCTATCTCGCTTGCGCTGCACAAATTGACGTGGCAGGTACTTGGCGTCAAGACAGCGAACGAGCAAATGTTCGTGCAGATGCATCCTCTACAGAAAGAGATAGTACACTAGCACACCCTTTTTTCCAGAACAAACAAAAGAGAACCAAAAAAAAGAGAAGCTTCGAAACCAAACACACTGAGCAAAGAATACGGACACTATTCGTGGGAAACACTCTGCATTCATTGCGTTGACCATCTCCTGCCATGTGACACAACCGATCCTCACGATCCTACGATGTGTCGCGATCAACCGTCAAGATACCCACATGACATTTGGCGATACCCAGACAAGGACGACGATATAATGGAGGTCGCAGCTCAAGCCAATAACTACCCATTACTCGAAGGAGGAGGTTCATCATACAACAACATACAACACATTATTTTATCTACGCAGCTTCCACATACTTAGCCACATTATTATATCTACACAGCTTCCACATTGCTACATTATTATATCTACACAGCTTCCACATACTCGGCTAATCACTCCCCAGATATTGGCCCAGAAGGATACAAAAAGGATAAAGAGTTTCAACACATTCACATTTTTCATGAGCTTTGCTAACGGCGCAAACCCCATTCCATAAAGATAACAGCAAACTCCAGACGGACGCTTGGCGCTATATTGCCGATTACATCTGCATCCTTCATGCACTTTGCTAATAGCTGAAACTGTCGGCAAGATGATGAACATGTGGCAATATCAAAGCAGGCCGGACACCGACAGAGATCCACGGCTAGCATGCACATCAAGCCAACACCATCCATTACTCAACACGCTCTCAAGAACAAAATTATTGGACCTCTAATTTTGGTAAACTTCGGTGCTCAGCAAACTTGGGCCCATGGAACAGCGGAAACCTTTGCCCTTGGAAATTTGACAACACATCCCCGGACTTCTTTGGATTCTTTTCATCGGATAGACAGTTAAGAAAAAGGTATGCTGGTTAACTGCCAATGAGATGTCAAGAGCACACCCACGACACTCCTTCCTTATCAACACACCACCAGAGAGGAGAGACCTCACGAAAAAGGTTCTGCTCCTCGCAAGGTGCAAACTTGAACAGATGATGCGAAACAGAGGTCAGTCGAAGGATGACCACACACACTGCCTCTTCACCAGAAAGTGCAGTGCCTCCCAGTTTGGTGGGCTATGTGTGGTTGACTTTGGTGGGGGGGATGAGGGGGGGGGTTCAACCACGTTCAACGAATCGGTCTACTAGAGAGAGAAAAAGGGTTGCTGGCAGCACTAACCCAGAACGACAAACAGCGGTGGGAAAGCAAAAAAGGACAATGGGGAGAAGTTAACAGCCAATGCTGCCTCACCAACGACGTCACAGCCCTCGGAGGTGGTTGCATTGGTCAGAAGTGGCCGATCATTGAAGTCAAGAAAGCGTACACGTCAGCCACTTGTGGTTTGTGTCGTAAGGATTGTTTGGGAATCGGTCAACAGTACAGAGGCAGCCACATGCTACACAGTTGGCCACCATTTCCGGACGTCAGTTCTTACCAGTGGAAGAAGGCAGGGGGACCCTAAACCCTAAACCCTTCCAATGCCAGTTCCTCGCTAGCTGGAGAATGTAAGGGCAGAACTTGGTGTCCAAACGCTTCACCACCATTTCGAAACACCGGGTCTTGCTAAGAAGGTCACATCAAGGAGTCATTTGTCCAGTTTTCATGAAAAAGTGACTTGTTTAGGCCCGGAGACATCTCCGGGTGCGGACCTTCCATGAGCCTGGACTCAGCACAGGTCCCGACACCACCCAAGGAAATACCCAACGCCCTCGGGATCTACCACGGACCTTCCACAAAGACAGCATGAGTTAGGACCAACTGGCATCGATCATTAGCTCCAGTGAAGAGAACAAAGACGAGGTACTGAGCTGGTTCACGTCAATTCTCCAGTTCATTTGCACGCCTTGCCAGAGGCTTGTTTTCACAGAAAGGTTTGTGAGTCCCCAAACCGGGCATCTGTAGGCTAGGGTGAGCCACTGAAAAAGTAAGTACTTCACCTGTTTTCCTTCTTTTCACGTGACAAGTCGCTAAAACTTTCGCCACGCAACTCAAGTTGACACCGACATCCTCCTTTCTCCCAAAAGTGATTCTCTACTCCCTCCTGCACTGCCAAATCTGACCCATTACCAGGGCTCATTGGCTTGACAGGTGAAGTCTCCCTCTTTCGAAAGTGGGGACCACCACATAGGGCCTCAGGCTCAGATTTCCCCCCTCCCAGACTGCCCAAAACCCGTGCAAGACCTCGCCTAATTGGGTCAGTTCGGCAGGTAAGGTTCAAAGGTGAGGGCGGTTTGAAATTCAATACCAATGTCCACCACATGATTATCACCACTGACCACCACAGCTCCCCAACCATCCTGATCCTGATCTCTCCCGCAAATCCACAACTGCCAGAAATAGCCTATATTTTTTAACAGCAATGTGCGGATGCGCTAGCTTGCAAAACAAAAAGACACTGGATTTGCTACTGAACCTATGCTATGTACATACCAACCTGCCTATGACTCAGGGCATACTCAGACTAGGACTTTTTCAACTGAGCTCACAACGTTTTTGTGTTCAGATACGTCCATGAGCGGGCCATAAAAACAGTCAGATGCACCCAGGAAAGTGCGCATGTGAGTACGGCCTCAAATGGATTCATGAATTCCTACCCACCTGAACGAGCACACGATCAAGTGGTGAAATTTCCGGAAAGCCTTGAGCACAGGAGGAGAGGTAGGGGCAAAGGTCAGTGATGAGAGTTACTGGCATATAGGCTAAGAAAAAAATGAAGTCGGGCCCCTTTCACCGTTCCGTATTCTTAGAAGCAATGGCAAGTGCATAGCAGTTCCCCGTTCCCAGTCTGCGCTCGTTTCCAAGGAGTCCGATCAGTTCCCATCAGTTGTACACACTTCTGGTAGGCTTTAAACAGCCACCCTTGCTGGCAACCAATAAAAATCCCAATTGGTAAACAGAAGGCCCTAACCAGGCTCGGAGAACAGACCCAGCACAGGTTCGGTCGGGGTGCAAATTGAAAATGCTCCCCCAGTCAGGTTCGTTAGGATACCAGTGCAGGCTCGGGATCCAGCAACAAAGAATGGGTGGTGGTGTAAGATTTACAAGCAATTTTTTGTAACTAAAGCAGGGTTGCACCCCCCGACGGTCGGCAGCGCTTGACTGGTCGGCACCTACCGGTCAGGGATATCGCCACCCCACAAAAAAAAGGCGTCCAGATCCCCGAATAACACCACCAACACCCCCATAGCGGGCCCCAATACCCCCAAATTGCCCCCAACACCCTCATTACCCCCCCCAATACCCCCTATATCACACCTATACCCCCCTATACCCCCCCAATACTCCAACCCCAACCCCCCCATCCCCAGGAGTTTCTCAGCGGATTTGGGCTGTACTCAACAAGCGCAGCAAAGCCCCCAACTCAGATTTGAAAAAAAAAGTGAATGGTTGTTTTCTGACTGGTCGGCAGACCGCCGACCGGTCGGCCCTACTGGTCTGCGGCAATAGTCGGCGATCGGGGCCGGCGGTCGGCAGGGATGCAACCCTGAACTAGAGTTGATAAATGAAAGGCTCGATTTAAATCAATTTCCATTCTAGAAGCCGCCACCCCACTGAGTTGTTCTTCTACACACACACACACACACACACACACACACACACACACACAAACACACACACACACACACACACACACACACAAACACACACACACACACACACANCACACACACACACACACACACACACACAAACACACACACACACACACACACACACACACAAACACACACACACACACACACACACACACACACAGCATGCATACAAACACATGTCAGCTGTATGTATTTTGCTTATTTTTTTGTTTTTGTTTTTTTTCAAAAGGCTGCCTTCTCCTCATCAGGGGGACAGCCCATATATTTTTCCTCTATTTTTTGGCTCTTCAAACCATCAGCCACGACTCCCAAGACCAGCAAACAGACCCCCTGGGGTACTACAAGCGACCTCTACTCTGTGCAGGGAGTGGCACCCCAGCTCCTAGCCCCAGGTGAGAGATGGAAGGACATGATTCCTGCCAGGACCAGCTGGGGGGGACAAGCCAACTACGTCCGCTGGTGAACCCCAAGTGTGCTGCAGGGGGCCGTGGGGGAGCGAATGGACCGGAATTGAATCCACGACCTCCTGAATGTCACTTGTGTGCTCTACAGACTGAGCTAGGCCACTTGGCCAGCTGTATGTATTTCACTACTTGTTCTAGCTCTGCTTTTTCTTGTCACTCACAACCTCTTGGGATGTTTTCTCTTGTGCAGGAGTTTAACCTGTGTGGTTCCATAATCCTTGATGTGCACTATTCGACCACCAACAAGGCACATAGATCTGCCCCTTCCACCCCACCCCACCCCACTACCCCAGATCAACAAAAGGGTACATAAATCTGACGTCTCAGGCTGCTTCAAACAGCCAAACCAATCAAGGACTAACCAATGGTCGAGTCTCTTGACTCCCTAGGCTGAACGTGCCTGATCAGTACACAACTGGTTCTGTTCAGACCATTCGTTTGTTTGTTGCTACGCTTTAAAACTTTTACTACCGTCTTCACCCGAATAGAAAGCCCAAATGCTGTACTTGGGGAAACTTTCAGTCCAGATACAGCAATAACGACCAGCATTCCGTATGGGCAAAGATGGTAGCAAGTTCCTCCATCATCCTGGCATTCTGACAATTTTCTAAGGACAATCTACATTCACTAATTTGGGATAATAATTCC